AATAATTTAATCAAATTCCTTTCTTTATTACTTAATTACTTAATCAACCAATAAGGAGCCAAATGAAAGCTAAAGACTGATCAGGGAGGTTAGGTTGGTCTGTATTTTATTGGGTTATTATGACAAGTGAGGTGTATGTATGCATAGATAAGATCGCGATCAGTGGAGATTAATCTATTTAATTATCCTGGCGACTTGATTAATTAACATAATAGGATTAGTATAATAGTGCTTAGTTTTGTTGTTCAAAACGTAATGCTAATCATAATTAAAAAAGATAAGAAAGAGAAACCATTAAACTAATTGGGAGTGAAAGTTACTGTGTGATGCCACACGTTTTGTCCCACTTTGTGGACTTTCTTGTCATGTCTTATAATAAAAAGTAAAAAAGAAAAAACATTTGGTTTTAATTTTCTCGTAATAATTCAAAAAAGATTGCACCGTCAAAATTTGTACAAGTGACAGTATTTTAGGGGGAGTCTCGTGATCGATCGTGAATGAATGAGGCCGACGAAACCCTAGAAGACACAAAATTCGCAATTTTCTTCCTTTCTTCTTCCTCATTTTTTCGACAATCCTTTTTTTTTTTCCTTTTCGTCTTCTTGGACTAAAAATAGGTCCTTTTTCCTAATTGTGATGTAGCTTTGTATTTAAGGATTAGTTTAATTAGAGCTTATTTCTCTTCATATCCCTTAGTTGAAATACATCTCTTACCTCCAACTCTCTATTTCAGTCTCAAACATACCTCTCTTCCCTCACTCACTCATCCACTCATCTTCTCGTGAACAATATTGACAGATCTAGACACTTAATTAATTATTCGGCTTATTTTCAATCCCCTCGTAGCCGCCTTCAACTTGTTGTTCAACGATATAGGCGGAACCTCGTGACTCATCATTCGCCCGACTCGCTCACCTGTACACTCACTGAGCTACGAGGCACTCTTAAGGGACTCCAAATGGCGTGGGATACTGGATGCCGAAAAAGTGAGCTTCAACTTGACTCGGGGGACAACTGTTCACATACTTTATGCTTCCAGACTAACCGACCACCAACATGCGAGCATGATACTCGCTACAAAAGGAAAACTGGGAGAAAAGAATCATCCACGCCTAGTAGGAGGCCAATTTTCTAGCTGATAACCTCAGTTGCGGATCTAGGGGAGGGTCTGCCCAGACCACGACCGAACGCTCTTCTAGGTCAAGAGCTAGTATACTAAACGAGACTTGCTTGCTTCTAGCCCTCTCCGTCTCTTTTTCGGCCAAGTGATAATCAGTATATAATCAATTCAAATGCGTCCCAGGTTCTACTATGTTCTGGATCCACTACTGGATAGACTAGCACGTAGATACCATGATCAGGGGCGGAGCTAGCATGGAGGAAGGGGATTTAATGGCACCCCTTGCCTTGTCATTTCAACAAGAAAAAATATACTTGAAAATGAAACTCATTTAGAATAGCAAGAATTGAAAAATTGTACTAGAGGGTACACCAAAAAAGTTAGCGGCGGAGTATTTTATTCTGAAATCGTGATTCAACCATTTCATACCGCTAAACACCGCCTACCGATTTCTCTTCCAGAAAGAGGTTTTTCTGGTTGAAACGTCGGTATGTTACAATTTTTCAATCCTTGGAAGTAACTACTCTACTCAATTTCAACCTCAAGTTTAGAGATGGCAATTTGAACCCGCCCCGTCGGGTATTACCCGACCTGACCTGCAATGGGGCGGGTATTACCCGACCCGTAGTAGCGTGGGGTGGGACATGGATATCTACTTTCGACCCGCCCTGTCCTGCCCTACCCCGTTCTCGGCCTATTATATGTCAATTTATTACATTATCTATTTATATTTCTCCTATTTTGAATTATCTTCAACTAGTTAGATTTGGTCTTCAACTAGTTAGACTCAATTACTCATTCTATTATCATTATTTCTCATTTATAAAGTGTTATTCCCTTCGTTTTATAGTAAAAAGTAAAATTTTATGTGTATTTTTTTTCAAATAATAAGAGTGGGTTGACCCGCCCCGTCCCATACCCACGCGGGTATTACCCATCCCGAATCTTTATATCCTGTGGCCGGGCATGGGTATTGAGGTACCCGCCCCGCCTCGCCCTGTTGCCATCACTACTCGAGTTAGTTGTTTGGGAGAGAAAATTCATATTTTTTTTATCAACTTACAATAAAAACAAAAAAAATTATGAAATTTACCAAAGACTCATTAGTATTAAATGAACACCCACGGAACTAAATTCTAATCTCTCGTTGCCTACATTTCCACAAAAAATTCTCAATATTTTAAATGGTATAAGCGATAATATCATAAATTCTTTTTTATATGATACATTACAAATAAAATTTCCAATAATTATTTGTCCCTGGTATCAAATCCTGCCTACGTCACTAACAGTAACTTACTAATAGGTGCTCACATTGTTGTCCTTCTAACTCAAATATTGCCATTGACTTTTGTACGATGTTGGTGGTGGGTTTATCATCTGTTCTTTGATGAGTAAGAGATAGTTGTGTCCAGGCATGGGAACGGGGCGGATCGTGCTCGGATTTATAAGGATCCGTTACCCACCCGTTTGAACTTCGGGTTGGGGGAAAACCCGCCCAACACAACTGATCGGGTGTAAAACAGACACCAAACCCATCCGTCGTCGGACTTCGGGTTTTTCGGGGATCCGAACTTGATCTTATCAAAACACTCAGGTTGAGAAAAAAACAGCTAAATGTCATTCAACCAAATTTGGGAGATAGATTCAAACAATAATAGTCAATAGAGCATGCATATTCAGTAGACAGTAGCCAAGGAAACCAATGTATCTAGGTTGTACCAACTATCAACCTAAATCAAACAAAATACTTGATCTTAATTCTTGAACTAAATCGAAAACAACAAACAAAATAGGAACTCCATCTCAATGTGCAGCAACAACTTTGACAGAACTCCTGAACTCCAGAAAACAGCAACAATCAAATCATCCAGCAGCAACCAACAACACTCATGAAAGCACCCAGCATCAACAACCATTAAACCAACATTCGATCACAACCTGCACGAAACCAACAAAAAGTTTAGAGAATAAAACTTGACACTCAAAGCTAAGCTAAATCAGAGAATAAGACTTGAGACTCACAGCTTAATGGTACATCACAAAGCTTGTCTAATCTTCAAGAAGTTTGAAACCCTCAATTTGATTGCACATTTAAAAAGAACATATGAGTTGTGCATTAAAACTTGCAATTTACAACTTATAAGTTCAATATAAGAAGTCAGTTTGTTACCTGCAAGTTCAGCTTCCTGTTGGACGAAATTGGCTTCATTTGGAGAGGAGAAACAGCCTTCCAGCAGTCCTACTCCTGCAGCAGAATCTTTACCTTCTACAAGTACAAACAGACACATTAAAACATAGCAGATTCAAATAATAATGGAAATAATAGACAACTTAAGTTCAAATAAGTGATTACCTTGAGACATTTCATTTTGCAACCAACTTCTCGTACACATAAGTATCTCAAAAGTACCAAAGTCTAGTCTGCTCCTATGAGGATCCAACAAACGACCTCCAGAGCTGAATGCACACTCAGATGCAACAGAGGTAACTGGAATAGAAAGAACATCTCTCGCTATGGCTTGTAATACAGGATATTTTGGGCCATTTAGCTTCCACCACATTAAGATATCAAACTCAACTGAACGAGAAAGAATTTCCTCATTGAGGTAAGTGTCCAATTCAGTTTGGACAGCAGTAACCTTTGCCTTTTTCCTTTGACTCACAAAAAGGTCAAAGTCCAGATCAGTGGTAGTAGGAGTAGAAGACTCAACACTCCCAGCAACATTCGAAGTCTTCTTCTCATTCAATCGAGTTTGATACTCCAAAACCAAATCAGACATGATGCTCTTAACAGATGCCAAACAAGAACCATCATCTCCAAACTTTTCAGCATAATATTCCACAATGGCCATCTTATACCGTGGATCCAAGACAACAGCAATAGCAAGAATTTTGTGAATCTCATCCCAATACTTACTGAACTTTTCCAACATCGAACCAGCCATGTTTCTTATCACATCATTAGCATCATCACACCAATCATACATCTTGAGCCTCAGATCACATATACGAGGGAAGAACAGATTGGTTGTTGGATATTTTGAACCAGAGAACAAATCAGACACCACACAAAAGCATTTAAGCTTATCACAAACAAGTGCAGCAAATTGCCACTGCTCATTCGAAGGCAAACATTTGTATTGAGCATCAAGTTGTTTCAATCTAGTGAATACTTCCATATAAGGGATAGCAGCAGACAACATCTTAAAGGTGGAGTTCCACCTTGTAGGACAATCCATTACGAGCCCTTTATCAGAAGTGGACTTCATTTGTTTTGCAGTCTTTTTGAAAATTTCCACACGTTTAGGGGTGGCAGACCAGTACAAAACACTGTCCCTTATGTTATCTATTCCCTCTTTAACAACATCCAATCCCTCCTTCACAATCAAGTTCAAGATATGAGCAGAGCACCTCATTTGTATCAAAGCTCCTTCACTAATTAAGTATGGTAACACTAATTTCGACTGTATGAAACGGATCATCGAATCATTAGTGCTACAGTTGTCGAGGGTTATAGTTGATACCTTAGTGTCAACATTCCAGTCAAGCAAACAGCCAACTAAGACTTTCCCAAGCCTTTCAGCAGTATGAGGTGTTGGAACATACATAAAACTGCAAACAAAACATAAACATAAACAATTAGTAAAATCCAAAAATTAAACATCAACAATGATTAAAATACAATAAAAAACAGGTACGTATATCATACCTAAGTATGTAACTCCTAAGCATCCAAGAGTTGTCGATATAGTGAGCAGTAACAGCCATGTATCCCTTCTTTTGGGAAGTGGCAATCCACATGTCGGTAGTGATTGCTACTCGACCTATATTGTTATCAAGCACACTCTGAAGCTTAGCCCTCTCAGTATCATACTTCTTAAACACCTCTTTTTTTAGTGCCCCTACTTGGTACAGTAAACAATGGCTGTAGAGAGCACACAAATCTCTTGAAATACTGATGCTCAACAATTGATAAGGGATACTCATGCATCGTAATAGCAATTGCAAGTTCCCTTTTCGAAAAATCAGCGTTGAAAGCAGTGGCAACCAAGTCTTGTTTTCCTTGAGCCAAATAGTGAGGGCCGAGAATCTTTTGACTACCATCCCTAATTTTCTTTTGAACACAGATTCTCGTATGGTTCTTTAGATGAGTAGTACCATTGTTTGATTCCCCAACTAACAACTTCTTACAGTAGTTGCATTTAGCCTTCACAGCACCATTCAATCGAATCTTGGTATAGTGTGCCCAAACATGACTTTTAAGCTTACCAAGATCAATTACCTCCTCAACATTACCATTCTGCTGGTTTGTAGGGGCAACTACTGCTAGGACAACCTCCCCATTGTTATTGTTGTTGTCGATTGCAGGTGCAAGCACAGGTCCATTTGCACCATTTCCATTAAGTTGAGTAACAGCAGCTGGTTGAACACCTTCAGACGACATGATTCATATAAGAAAACAGAGGATCAATTAGTTAGAAAGCAATAGCAAGATTAAATTAAGAACCTAAAAAAACAGAGAATGAAAATGCATTACCTTGATCAGACAGAGAGACGAACGACAAGAATGAAAATACCCCAAGTAAAACACTCCAAGTCTCCCAGTTTGCAACCCGTAGTGGACAACAATATCTCGTATTCACAGAGCCACAAATCAAAATAGTAAGGGGGTGAGAAGTCGATAACCACAGGTAAAACTAGAAGGCAGAAGCATAGAAGCTGAGTAATGAACAGAAAATGACCACCCACCTCGTATTTATATGCAGCTCCAGCATTCCAGTCGAATCGATCGACTTCTCTGATTTCTCGGCATGCAATCAAAGGAAAGGATTGCATCGAGAGAAAGAAAGTGATCATTAACATCATCGGGGAGGAAAGAAGATAATTGATGGAAGGAATTCGCCAATTAAAAATGAAGCTGCTGGAGAAAAGTTAGGGATTCGAAGCAATCGCTGCGATTTTTTAGGCTGGGTATCCAAAAGTCGGGAGAGAAGAACGAATAAACAAGAATTGGGGCTAGGGTTTCGTCGTTTCTGAAGGGGGTATATATATGCGGGGCGGAGTCGGGGCGGATAATACTGAATTCGATCCCCGCCCGTCGCCCGTCAATGTGTATTTCGGGTTAATCCGAGCCCGGCCCGACGCCCGTTCAAGACTGATTTTGCCCGCTTGGACCGGGTCGGATTCGGACGGGTTATCGGGTCCCTAGGTACAATTCCCATCCCTAGTTGTGTCTTTGCACCCTTAAAAAAAAAATTAATCTAATTTGCACCCCTATTTGCCATACATAACATTTGTTAGAATTTTGACAATACCTTTGGGCTTATTGGACTTTTTTCCCATTCCTCAAACAAAAAGTTCGATTAAACTTCTTTGTCCCGATAAAAGAGAGAGCTGGACTTGAGCCACACATTAGTATACTTCCATGAAATTAAATATGGTTGTATGTGTAAGTGTAACTAATTTTTTTCCCCCAACATTGGAGGCTAATAACAGCCGAAGAAAAAGAAACAACAGGGAAGGGAGAGGAAGGATTAAGAGGAAGAGGGGGTTTCAGGAGTCACAACAACATTCCTGGTGAAAGTTTGCCTCCTACGATCGTCGCCAATGAGAGGCTGAAGTCCTTGGGGTGGTGAGGTTAGCTCATTCATACCGTAGGGATAGACGAGACTGTGCTTCGAGAGCCAGTCCGCGACTCTATTCCCTTCCCGATAAGTATGGACTAACCTAACCACCCAGTCTTGAGCAAGTCGTCGTCTTATCGCTGCAAGGAGGGTCGCGTGAGGATGTAGAGGGTCCGCCCTCTTCTCAATAAGCTGGAGAGCTAGTTTGGAGTCGGATTCCACTATGACAGTTCTGCCACCACTTTGCCAAGCTACCCCAAGTCCGTGATAGATACCCCACAGTTCTGCTTGAACTGCTGAGCAAGCGCCCAGCTTTGAGACAAAGCCTGTAATCCAGCTGCCCTCAGTGTTCCGCAAGATACCGCCTGCTCCGGCTGGCCCCTGATCTCCATTGGCCTCTCCGTGATCCAGGCTCCTTCATCATCTACAAACTCGACGATCGCGGCCTGTTTATCCTCCTCCGGAATTGGTCCAGTGGCCACTTCCTGCAAGGGTACCTGCGAGATCCAAACATCAGACCAGAAACGGGTAAGGTTTCCTTTGTGAATAAACTAATAAACTCTGATTATTGTTCACAAACAAAATTGTTATTATTGACCATATCAGACCCATATCTAAAGAGCAAAGACAATATATTAACAATTAATTGTAGAAATTAATGGAACTTCCTTATTTTTAGTACAATAATTGCATTTACAAGGGAAAAAAGAAGACAATTAAATAATCAATACACATAAGCAGACAACAAATGGAAATTAAATATGTTTTGCTTTTGTGTTTAGACTTTAGTGTTGGGAGCTGAAAACCTCAAAGCCCACCACCTCGCTACCAAGTACCACCAATATTTAACCAAATATAATTTTAAAAAAGGGCTAATACCATTAGAAATACCATCCTTTAGCGAAAGTGCCATTTATATTACGTACTTTCAATAAACACAAAAATATTCCAACGTATTAGAGGTTTGCGTCATTTGTGTTACGCGAATTTTTGTTGACTGTAAAAGATAACCGTTGACTTAACGGTGGTCAACCTTTGTATGACCATTGATGAAGTGGCGCTTCTGTGTCATCCACGTATGCGACACGTAGAAGCCACGTAGGAAAATAATATTTAAATTTTAATTATTAAATACTTAATATTTTTGTTGGAAATAAATATTGGTTTAACCTCATCCACGAGGCCACGACACACCCACCCTCGCCGGCCGCCGCATGCCCCAATTTTCATCGCCGAGAATGCAACCCACCCAAAAATCTCTACATCGCCCATCTTCAGCAATCTTCTTCCAATATTCCCACTATGTTTCCTACCAAATCCACGACTCCCATGAACGGATGAACCCAGTTTGAGAAGAGCCACCATGGCTATCGAAATCGACGGCCTCGCTGTAACCGCCGCCATCCACTTTGCTCAATTACCTAGCCCTATATGTTTATCGGGATCGAATTCCAAATCGGGATCTAGCTTATGTCTCTCCGAGGGCATCCTAATGCAAAACCCTTCCTCTACGACCCTTCGATTTCTTGACGTCTGGTTTTTGTTTAGCTCCGAATCCGATCGATCCGATTACACAGCGGGGACCCGCGGCGGAGACTCCACCTCCACTGTTGCTGGTCACGGCGGCCCGATTTCTTTGCCACGGCTTGTCACAACAGCGACTCCAGTGTAACTGCCCTAACCAGTTACTGCTACGTCTCGCTAAGCGATTTCTCCTCCTGATTCTTGCCGCCTCCGTCGTCTCCTTCACCTCCTTCGATTTAACTTCTTAAAAGCAAAACTTTCAAGCAGATGGGTCTGAATAAGTGGGATCCCATTTGGACTTCGTAATTGGTTCGGGTTTCGTGTCCGCTTCTCCCTCCTCCTCGTTCCTGGCTTTCGGTTGCAGACCCGTGGGATTAGAATGGAATGGCCAATCCTCCCCGAAATCGTACCACTCTCTTTTCTTCTCGTTGGCTTGTTGCAGCCTGCAGGGACTGAGAGAGGAGCTGGGGGCAGGGGATTGGAGAGAGTTGAGAGCAGTGGGCGGATGCCAATCCTTTTTTGTTTCAATTTTTTGTATTTAATTGGATAATTTTTATTTTACTTTATTTTGTATTTACCATGTCAGCTGTCATGTCATCGCTGACTGTGTTTTCTGTTAAGTACAAACAGAAAATTTAACGGTTGGTATATAATTGTCATATCGAAAACTATATAATATAAATGACACTTTCGCTAAAGGATGGTATTTCCAGTGGTATTAGCCCTTTAAAAAAATCGTGAATGGATTCTTTTCGATATTTTGTTTAAAATTCTTACTAATACTAATAATTATTTTTGGATTGAAGGAAGCGATGGTCCTGTATCCCATCTCTCATTGAAAACCATAAAGTTTGACTGGGTCTATAATGAGGCTCAAAATATTAGCAGATAATTTAAGGAAGTTAATTCGTATCAAAACAGCATATTTATCTGTTTTTAATACTCTTTGTATTAGATCAATTAAGTTGATCGTGTTCGTCTACAAAATTTTAATATAATAATGACATTTCATATGGTAACTAATAAAATAATTTTTGTTATTATGCGACCTAACTTTTATTTAATCAACAGTGTTGCCTATAGACCTGGCAATCGGGTCGGGTTGGGTAATTTCAGGTCGAGACTTTCAGTTACAGGTCGGGTCGTGTTTGCTAGGCTAATTTCGGGTCAAATATTGACCCAACCCATTTGGTTTCGGGTCGGGTTACAGGTCGTTTCGGGTTATTATCGTTCTCAGAAACAATATCAAACATGCTTCATATTTTCTTCAAGAACACAAATTTTCACAAATGCATGACAACAGTTTACCTAACACATGTCCATTAACATATTCTCAAATCCTCCCATGCTAATTAAATGAAATACAAATTACACAAATCGTCAAAAAACAATCACAAGAGTAATGTTATTACACGAAACACATGATATTTGATTATCCTTAAACTCCAAACATATGTCATTCAAATCTATGTGAATTTTTGTAAATATCTCATCAATTTATGAGTAGTTTTATCATTTTGGGAGTGATATATAAAATGGAGCGGGTCTAACAGGTCGACCCGCTAACCCACCCAACCCGACCCAAAAAATTGCTGGTTATCAGGTTTGGGTCATTCGGCTTTCAGGTTATTAAAACTTTTACTTTTCTGACGGATTCGGGTCAGGTCAACGGGTCGGGTTGTAATTTGCCAGGTCTAGTTGTCTATCTACCAATATAGTCTTATCAATGTTTATCCAACAATACGAGTGACTACCATTGACCAATGTAAGTGTTACTTATAGTAGTTGTGCTTTTCAAGAACACAAAAATAGTACTTAATCGAAACACATGAAAATTAGCCGAATTTGGTAAGTATAACGAAGGAATATCTATCACTTCAACGTGTATTAAGGTTTGGTAGATTGACGTGGATAATTGTATAACATATGTTGACCGATCGATGAGAGATCACTTTTTTATCTGAGCCGTGCCACCTAACTATACATTGGAGAACTAAAGTGAAAGGGGAATATACCGAAACAAAGCAAAAATAACTTAAAACTTCCCTAATGAACACAATAACACTACCCGTCTCCGGCGTCTCATCTATTGACACCAATTGCGCCCTTATATTCAGTCCATATTGTCGACCCCAAGAACATTCTTATACCAAAACAACCATCATCAAAACACGTCTTTTTACGTCACAAGAACATATATTTATAGATACGACGACGACACGGACAGAAACAAATGTCACCCGTATTGATTTCTCACTCACTCACTCACTCACTCACTCACTCACTAGGTTGAGTCGAGGATGGATACTAATTATCAATGATATGCTAACATTACATCACCCTCGTATGTATTTGATATTTCTCCACCACCACCTATTCTATTCCTAATTGCAAAAACCCCATGGGAAACCGAAGGGCTCTTTTTTTTTTTCAGACTCACGTTTCCTCCCTCTTGGTTTTTGGAAGTATTGTTTGACGGCTGAGCTTGTTCTTATATAGAGGCACTGGTCCGGTGCCGCAGTGCGCGGTGGCGAAGGCAGCCACGGTGACTCCCGATGACGTCGAGGAAACAATTCGGTCCACGTGTCGTAATCTCATAATTTCACGGTAGCGAAGGAATGAAATTCGTAATTTCCTCTTTTTTTCCCCCCGGAAATAAAATCCGGGTTTTCATTCAATTTCTTCTCCCGTCTCCTTCTCCAACTCCGACGCCTTCTCTCTCTCTCTCTCTCTAGCCAGGGCATTCTTTATATAGGAAAAAGGCGACAAAGCGAGGCAGAAAGCGGATCAATTATGGTGGGTCAACCCATTTTAAGCGACCTCCGGTGGGACCCACGATTCTTTCTGACGTGGCCACTTGGGTCTCTCACCCTCATTTATTTATTAATAAAGCAAAAATTAATTAACTAACACTTGTTGTTTTAGATGCCTGTGGGTGCCACGTAAGGTTGGCAAAATCGGGACGGCTCCGTGACGTTATCTTTCCCCTTTCCCTACTATCTTTGAAGGGAAGATATTTCCTCTTTTACTGGCTGGATTTTTGCGAAAGGGGGGGGGGGAAGGTAAAAGATCCAACGCGACGAATAAGCAGGGAGGCAGGAGTAGGAGGGATCGGGTTCGCACGTGGCAGACGGTTAGCGAAGCCACGTCAGGATAAAGACGTTGCCACGCTGGATAATTTGTTATTGTGTGTTTTTTTTTTCCGTGGGTTTTGATGGTGCCTGACATGTTAACGCTCCGCCAGAAGCGCGTGGGGGTTGGAGAATAAAGTCGGAGGTGGTTCTGCCACTTTTCGCTAGCGTTTCATTATTGTTTTCGAAAATATTTTTTTCTTCAATTTCACTCCATATTTAACTGCTGGCCTGGCGGGGTGAAATTTGACCGAGGCCACAGTAGGAAAAAAAAAATTTCGGTGGTTCTTTTTTGAAATTCGGGGAAGAAGAAATTTAAAATAAGAAAATAACAATTAAATATTTGTTGTGGGTGATTGGTGGGGCCCAAACCACGTCAGCAGCAAGCTGCCACCATCTCGCGGAACGTGACAATAAGGCCAAGGCCAGGAAATAATATAATATATAAATTTTTTTAATTATAATTTCCCATTCTCTAGATGGGGGGTGGGTTCGGCTAGTTGGGGAGCCGTGGGGCCCAATATTTCTCGGAAGTTCCGTGACCGCGACTCGAGTTGCCTTCACGCACTGCACTTGCACTTGCGAGCAGCACCGATCTCAGCCGTTGAGTTCTGTGGGGACAGCGAATTCACGGCCAGATCTAAGCGCACTGAGGAAACGATATTATTAAATATTATCTGTACAATATTATATAATATTAATATATATCATTTATAATTGGCAGTCCCGAGCCCGAGCCTTTTGGTTCGGCGCCAGTTAGGACTTTTTGTTAGCTGGTTGGATTTTCATTTATTCTTTATTCCTTCAATATATAATTTTTTCCTCTCTCTGATACTGATGGTGCCACAGCCAACAGCCACGTAGGATTATAATCCAGCGGTCAGAAAACGTGTCATTGGCACGACAGATAGATCTCAGCCGTCGAATTTTCCGTAGTTAATGTGGCCGGGCCCATGGTGGGGTCGATGTGGGGAAACGTACAGGTGTATTTATTTACTCTCATCCGTAAGAATTATTATTATTTGGGTCTAATTAAAAAAAGAAGAGACAGATGAGGTGGGTTTAATTCGGAACGAAGGAAAGTGATACGTGGAACCAGGAATTATAGATTTGACCGGTTGGAGCTCTATTTTCAGCGGTCACCTAGATTCCTTGTTGCTTTTACCAAGGTCCCGCTTCACCGGCTATAGCCGGTCACCGAGGGAAAATTCAATGCTTTCCTACCTTTTTATTTTTTTATTTAATATAATATATTTAATCGAGATTCGTGGGAGACAGCATTTTCTCTCTCCCTCTTGTCATCTCTTTCGCCGGGTGGGATTGGTAGGGGATGAGTTTAGTTCTAAGTTCTAAGGCTCTAATAGGTTAGCACCATACTAACTAGTATAGTATCGATTAGATTGAAATAACCATCCTATGATCGAAATTAATTGAAAGATACTATAGTAATATTACCTCAAATCCTAATATAAAAATTTTATACACACCCATCCTCACTCTCAATCACGGTCGCCCCCTCTTTCCCTTCTCTCTACACTCAAGGTGAACTGCCTGCCCCTCTTCTCCCTTCATCAAATCCAGCGATCGAGATTCGTGTCGTCACCGCCGATTGATGTGAAACTCGAAGTCGATTTTAAACTGTTGTCGACCTGTGAGATATGTGAGCCTTGTGATTCCGAAATTGGAAGTTTGGAGACGAAGAAGATAGGACCAACCACGATGGTGGGAGAATCGTCCATTGGAAGAGGGAGACCGAGAAAAAAGATATGCATACTAGCCATTAGGTTTCGCGATGGGACTATTGTGCGTATTAGCATTGTTTCTTTTGTAATGAGTGTGATTAGTATTAGTAGTGATTGTGATTCGTATAATTAATATAATTTAATTTGCATTCATAGTGATTGTGTAGTAATGTTTTTCGTAGTATTTTTATCTGTTAATACTTAATAGTGATTTAGTCTCTCTGATGTATGTCAACTACTAAGTAGTAATGATTTCATTTGTTTATTTCAATTTCTATCCCCTAAAATCACTATTATTAACAATTAAATCACTATAACAATTTTAAAATAACTACTATACGCACCAAAAACTACTACTTAAAAGTAGTACTGATTTTTGAACAGTTATTTTTGGACGTAGCTACTGCGGAGAGAAAAAGACATTTCAAATTTTTAATTTTCTAAAATGCCTAATATACCCTTCACTATACAGCACCATTCGATTCACTTAAAATGAATGGACGGTGATTAGAGCAGTTAAGATGGTGCTAACCCCTATTAAGTTAGCACCCTAGCTTCTCACGATTGGTACAATGACTTAATTATTCTATTAATATAATTTTATCAAATCTAATAACGTACAAACAAATATTGTTTTCCTTTTTTTTACTTTCTCATCCTTTTTTTTCTTTTTTTTCCTGTTACTAAATGATTAAATTTCCGCATTATTCAACGAGAGAGAAAAAATAAATCTCCGCATTCTCGGAAATAATTCATTTGGCAATTAAAATATTCCCAAATCGGTAGTGAGTAAACATGGGGCCTGAGTAATGGCTGACACGTGGCGGTATCTCTGCGGAAAAAGGTGAGCGTTCACAGGACCTATCACCCCTCTCCTTCGACGGCTTTGATTTTGCCATGTTGGTTTCACGCCATCGCGTCCGTCCATTTCGTCAGGCAACCAAAGGCCCAGATCTAACCATGTATGACAGAGACGAATCTGGACCGTCCGCTAGGGCTCTGGAGTGGGTTGCGCTGCCAGTGAAATAGGCTAAAAAGATGAGAGGAGAGGAGAGCACGGAAAGAGGACAGAGATAGATAGAGAGAGAGAGTCAGGGGGGAGAAACAGAGAATTTTAGAGAGAGAGAAGGGAGAAGAAGAAGGAGAGGGGAAGGACTAGGTGGAGATAAGTGAGAGCAGAGCGCAAAAGGGAGAGGAGATAGATCTTCCCTACTGGAAGGAATTTCTCCACCTCCGATTGTGTGTAGGATATCGCCGGCTCAATTAGCGTCTCTCTGAATTCCTCGCCGGTTCCGGCGACACAGAGAAATCCGCCATTTGTGCCGACCAGTGATGCTCGGTTTCCGGTGATGTGAGATGCGATTCAGCTCCTACACCTTTTCTGTTTGTTAACACCTTATCACAACGCCAGATATGGACAGAAACAGAGAACCTAGACGAGTGGCCATGGCGGTGAGCAACGGCTTGAACCGGCGGCGACATAGGAGTAACAGCCTCAGAGACTCTCCAGGTTTGAATTTTCCCATCAGATCTAGATGTTCTTTCGCTCGCTTTATCTTCCTTCTACTCCTTTGTGCTGATTCTCTTCTCTTTCGTTTTCACAGAGGACGACGGACCTGTAGAGTTGCCGGAGACGGTGAGGCTGCGAGATCGGGGGATTGGTAAAAAGGATCGAGATCGGGAACGGGACAGAGAACGGGAGAGGGAGCGAGATCGTGAACGGGACAGAGAGCGGGATAGAGATCGGATGAGCAGCCGGAGCAAGCGCCGGCGAGGAGACCGGTTGATGCACGGCAGCATCAGAGAAGATGCCGGCGATGAAACGACGGAAGAGAGTGTAAACGACGATGAGGAGGAGGACGACGATGACGGAGGCGGAGGCGTGGGCGCCGCCAGCTCCCTGAGGATGTTACCTCCGAATCCATCGTCACTCTCTTCTTCTTCTTTGTCAAATCACCATCACCAGCACCACCATCGGAAGAGCTTTCCGCCTCCGGCTAAAGTTTTTAGGGCTTCTCCGGTCGTTACGGCGACTCCTTGGAAGGCTCCCGATGAGATGATTGGGGTGTCGGTGCCTAGAAAAGCTCGGTCAGGTAGTGAGGTGGACGAGATTTTGATATATACCGTTCTGGATTTATTTCATCCCGTCGGCGGATTTCAGTGCCTGGCCGGTAGATTGGATTTCTGATTTTCTTATGTATTTCTCCTGTTTTTGCAGCTTGTACAAAGAGGTCTCATGAACCTTGGGCTTCAAGCGGTGGAGTCGGTGCAGAGCAAATTCATCGGCAAGCTTCGCAATCTCCGGTGAGATCCAGTGGACAAGGGATTTTGGCTTCAGCGTCCCCTTCCCCTGCTCCGCTCTCACCTTCTTCTTCTAACGCTTCAGCTAAGAAGAAGATGGTGCGTACTCCCTCTGTTCTCGCCTTTCCAATTCTCATCTTGATTTCAGTTGTTTTCGTGATACTAATCCAGTTGTTTTTGCTGTTGTTATCTGAAGGCCAATGGCCAGAAGCAGAAGCCGCCGAAGTCATCATCAAAATCTACTTCCTCAGCTCAAGACGAGATTGAGATTGAGATCGCAGAAGTGTTGTACGGACTGATGAGGCAGCCTCAGGGTCCTTCAAAGCAAGAAACCATGCCTCCCACCGCCGATTTGAAAGAAGTCAACAACAGGCCAAACACCGATGCCAAATCCAGAGTCTCATCGCCGATCTACAACTCGTCGGCCACTTTGCCTCAACCTTCTTCGGCCCCACCACTAACTAATTCTACCTCTTCTGCTACAACCATATCTGCAACTGGTAAGCGAGGATTTGTACCCTCGGTGGCTGGAGTGTTTCTGTTTGGTTGCTGTGGAATTGATGGAAAAGCTGGGGAAATCTGGATCAGAGCTTTATCTTATCACCCCCTTCTTTTCTTTGGGTTCCATAGCAACTCTGGAACAACAATCAGCCCTTGTGATTCAGTTTTTCCGGCAAAATTCCCTCATCTGATTCTCTTTTTTTTTTCATTCGTTTTGGTTTTCCCGATCAGCCCCCAAGAGGAAGAGACCTCGGCCAGTGAAGTACGACGATGAGACCCCATCGATATTCACTGTTCGGAGCAGCTCTCTCCCTCAGCCAAACAAGGTTGATTCCGATCATCCTGCAAAAATAGAGGCATCGACTTCCATGCTGGACAAGAGTCGAGTTGCGGTAGCTGAAAATGGTGGTGCCGTATGCAAATCATCTTTGAGTCACGCGGCGGCGGCAACGACGCCCCCTGCAGATCAGTTCCCGGAATCAGCGAAGGCCGACATCAACAGCATTTTGTCCAATTCGAAGCCACCGTTGACTGGCGAATCAGATGCTAGAGATATGGTGGAGTCGAAAGAGGAGCCCCGATCGCCGTTTAAAGAATCTGCTTCCTCTGCTCATAGATTGGACGACGATCGCGAGAATTCTGTGGCCGTGAAACCGTGAGCATCGAATTCATTTTGCGATGGTGTTATTCAGTTTTTAATTTGTTCCGTTCATCCTACTCATCTTCTGTTTCTTCTGTTGCGTCATCCAGAGATTCAGCAGTTATCGAGCCTGAGAATCCACGTGAAGAGAAGTTTCAGATAGATCTGATGGTAGGCAAAAATATGCTTTTTTTTTAACCGGGGAAGGATTTCTGGTTCCAGTTCTGAGATTTCCTGCTTCTTCTTCCTTCTTCCTCTTCTGGGATTTTTTATTTTTTTCTCCAATTATTGGATAGCAGGCTCCTCCTCCGTCAAGATCATCACCAGAAAGGGACAGTGAAGTTAATTTTGTGGCTGTAGATCCTAAACCAGTGGTCACAGATGGTGAAACGGTGAGTGGGGTCAACCCTCTGAGGCTCTGTCGTCCTGTCACTTACATACGTATCAGTGCTTGGTGTTTTATGGAGCTGTGCAAGAAATTAAATGGTTTTGGTCTTCTTGATTTTCTATTTGTGTAGGAGACGAAGCCAGCGGTCAAAGAAGATGAGAAAGCGGTGAAAATTGTGAAGGAGGATGTAAATGTGGAGCCAGAAGAGAAAAGGATGAAAGTTACTGCATCAGGAGATGTTGATTCTCAGAAACCAGGTAGAGATTATAGTAAAGAGAAGAATATTGATCTCCAGCTTGATTTGGCGAGGCCAGAGAGGGATAATGGCAATTCTTCAATCAGTGGGAACAAGTTGCATCTTCATCCCCAGAAACAACAGCAGCCACAAACCATCTCCGAGAAAGCTAGTAAGTAGTGCTCTTCGTTCTCTCTCTCTCTCTCGTTTTTTCTTTTCGAGAAAAGCAAAAGAAATCATTTGAAAACAGAGGGCTGAAAATGTTGTGGATTTCTTGACTTGTGATAAGATTTCACATTTGCTTTTATCTAATCTGCTTTTTTTTTTTTTGTTCTCTCTTATTTCCCAGCCCAATCATCCACTCTACCTTTGCCAATGTCTATGGCCAGCTGGCCTGGTGCGATTCCACACATGGGGTACGGACGGGCTGTTGTTTTCTGCCATCTACCTTCTTCTTCTTTCCTTTCTTTTAGTTGTGAGAAAAAAGCTTTTCTGGTATCTTATCTGCGAAAATGACTCTTTCAAACCCAGCAGGTACATGGCACCTTTACAAGGCGTTGTATCCATGGATGGGAACCCAGTCACTCCTACCCCGATGCAGGTATAGTGGTTTAAATCCTCTTCTAATTTATTTCCATGGCCGATTTTAACCATCTGTTAGGTTCTGACTTCCCTTTCCCCTTCCCTTTTTCTTCTGCAAATAGCCTCCCCATTTGCTTTACGGCCATAACCCTCCACCGACTCGGCCAAAGAGGTGTGCAACACATTGCTACATTGCACGTACGATTCAGTATCACCAGCAATGTACGAGGCTTACTTCTTTCTGGCCTGCTGCTGCCGCTGCTGGGTCTACTCTTCCATTGCCATATGGAGGAGCCAAAGCCTTAAATGCTGTCCCGGCCCCCGATCTGCACTCTGGAAGGGGGTTGAATCCCGTGCAAGACAAGGGACAACAGGGTATTGCTATCTTCCCTGGTCACTCTGGGAAAGACAAGCCCCCTCAAGCTGCTGCTGCAGGTAATGCTGTGGACACTGCTCAGAGAAAGCAACAGATTATGCTTCAGCAGGCATTGCCATCTGGAGCATCAAGCAATATTCTGGTATTTTGCCCTTTTGACCCTTTTCTGATTACGTGACCTTCCTTGAAGATAGATTTTCTGAACAAGGTTCATATTTTTTTTTTTTTTTTTTTTTTTTGCTTCAGCATGGTCCTGCTTTCATATTTCCTCTAAGTCAGCAGCAGGCAGGAGCTGCAGCAGCTTCAGCCCGTCCTGGCACTGTTAAGTCACCTCCTGCACTACAAGGTTCTGCATCTTCGGCAAGTGCAACTGCTGCTCCTCCTTCAGTTACCAATGCTGCAACAGCAATGGCAGGAGCTGCTGCAGCAATGAGCTTTAGCTACCCTAATATGCCTGCCAGTGAGACTCAGTACTTGGCGTTTCTGCAGAACGGTGCGTACCAAATTCCTATTCCGGCACATGTTGGGGCTGCAGCATGTTACAGAGGAACACCTCCTTTGCCCTTCTTCAATGGGTCTTTCTACTCTTCCCAAATGATTCACCCTTCACAGCTTCAGCATCAACAACAACAACAGCAGCAGCAACAACAACAACAACAACAGCAACAACAGCAAACATCTCATGCACAGCAAAACCAGCAGGGTCACCAAAACCCTAGTGGCATGTCTAGTGGTTCTTCATCGTCCCAAAAACATTTGCAGAATCAGCAGCAGCAGCAGAGATCGTCACATGGTCCTGCTGTCAATGTTGGCAATGGAGGAAATCTGCAGAGCTTCCCTGTTCCCAAAAACCAGCCATCACAGCTGTCACTACAGCAGCTTCAGCAGAGGCAGCAGCAGATTCAGAACCAGACTTTCCCACATCATCAAGGGCGGCAACTAGAGAATGAAATGGGCGGGGAGGACAGTCCGTCCACAGCCGACAGCAGCCGAACCTCCTCCAGACCAAACATGACAATGTATGGGCAGAGTTTCTCGATGCCAATGCACCCGCCTAACTTTGCTATGATGGCACCTGCATCAATGGGAGGAGGGATGAGTGGTAGTAGCACTGGTGGGAACAACCCGAGCGAGAAGAAATCGTCCCAGCAACAACAAAATAATCATGGGTCCAAAGCTGGTGGAGCTGAAGCCTTGCAATCACAGGCTTTTGCCATGTCTTTTGGGTCCATCAGTGGCGCCATGACTACTCCTGGCCTTGACATGTCCTCTTTGGCACATAATCACCCACTTTTCCAGAACCTATCTGAGTCTACGAGACAGGGGTATCAGTTCATGGCAGCTGCTGCGGCTGCCCAAGCAGCACAGCATAGTAAGAAGAATAACAATAACTACCGTGTTTCTGAGGATGGTAAGAGTGGAGGGAACAATGGAACTCATATGGAGGAAGACAGAAAGGTCATGGTGGGAGGACCGAAGGCCCCTGCTCCAGGACAGTCAATAGCTTTCTCAAGGACAGATTTGTCAGATTCATCCAACAGTGTAATGGATAGCTCTGCCAGGACTTTGAACATTGGTTCCTCTGCTGCTCGGGCGCCTGGTGTGCAGCAGCAATTGCACAGAAATCAGCACCAGCAGCAACACCACCATATACAGCAACAACAGCAGCAGATGATGCAGCTTCACAAGCAGCAGCAGCAGCAGCAGCAGATTGCCGCTGCAGCAGCTTCTGGCCGGAACAAACCCCCTTCCAGCAACGGAAACCTTTATCCAGACCACATGCCTCCATCAATTGCAGCTAAGTTTCCTAATGCAATGTCTGCATTTCCTCAGAATTTCCAGACTGGTAGTAGCCCTGCTGGTCAAAGCCCTCAGTGGAAGAACTCTGTGAGGCCAGCTGCTCCTTCCTCGTCATTCAACTCGCCAAGTTCATCATCATCACTTAAACAGCTGCCACAACAGCAGAGCAGCCGAGGTGGGCAACCGGGAGGTCATACCCAAATATCCTTTGCATCCAATCCTAAGCAACAGTCATCGACATTGCAGCAACAACAACAACCACCTCCAAGTGGTAGCAATCATTCTCCATCTCCACCAGTAATGGTGGGTTCTCCCACCACGTCGTCTATCTCCAAAGGTGGTGCTGGTGGAAGTCCAAGGACAACTTCAACGTCAAACAGTAACAAAGGTGGGCAACAACAGTCTTCTCAGCAGGGAAAGAACTCGCATTCCCATTCTCCATCGGTGGGTACCCAAAAATCTTCATCAGCCGCGGGAGGAAACATTCCATCCATCCTTGGCCATCCTCATAACACTCAGACGTCAACCACCAGCTCAAGGGCTCAACAACAACTGTCCCAGCAGCAGCAACAGCATCTGCCTAAGATGCAAGCACAGTTACTGTATAACGCTGCTTTCATGCAGGCACAAGCTCAGCAACAGCACCACGCTCAACAAAACAACACTGCAGCCTCAGCATCTCCAACGAGCGGGTTCTATCTCCAGAGACATCGTGGCGACCAACAACAGCAGCAGGGATCGACGCCTCCGCCCTCGTCGTCAGGGATGCTGTCATTGTGCCCACCGACCAGCCTTGCCAACTCTCCGACGACCGACCCTGCAAAGTCAGCTGCTGCTGCTGCTGCTAACAACATGAAGGGTGGTGGTGGTGGTGGGGTGTTGCCAATGCATGCACAGTTTGCTGGCGCGGCAGCTTCGTCGGGGAAGGGGGGACTCCAGGTTGGTCCTGGTGGGGGTTTCTCGTACGTGCAGCATTCTGTCCCGGCTGGTGTGCAGGTGAAGCCGGCAGAGCAGAAGCAGCAAGCTGGTGAGTAAAAGTAAACCCCCTGCTGCTGTATTTATTTTGCTTCCCAGAAAGAAAGAAAGAAAGAAGGAAAGTATCCGCCCCTGCATCACCTCGCCGGAAGTTGGTGTTGCTCTCTGGTCTGGTCGAGGGGGAATGGAAGGAAGGAAAGATGGTGGTAGTTGAGAATATAATAAGATTTTGGAAGGAGAAAGAGTTTTGAGAAGAGAAACTCTTTTCTCAGTGTTGATAAAGAATGACTGAATGGGAAGGGATCTAATCTTTTAATTTGATTGGAAGAGATGGATGAAGAAGAGAGTGAAGCAGCAGGGCAGTGGTCTCTTACTTGTCCTGGGATTGTTTGTAACGAGGTGTTGTTGGTTTCTTCTTCTTCTTCTTCTTCTTCTTCTCCTAGAGTTGTTGGTTTTTGATGTTGCAGATAATAGAAGAAGAGGAATTAGGCAGGGTAGTTTTTTTTTCTTCCCTTGTCAAGCAAGCACAATTCTCCTTTTTGTTGATTAGTGTTAGTATTATAAATATTTTATTTAATGATATTAGATTGATTATTGTAATGAGGAAACAGGTATGAAAATGGAGCAAGTGGAAACAGGCATGTTGAAAAGAGAAATGTGGAGGCAGATATGATGACGATGATTGATAAGAAGAGAGTTTGACATGTTGTTTGGTAATTTGTAGGGTTTGGTTGAATGCTCTGCAAATCTGTTTAGTGGTAGTGGGATTGTGAAAGAAAGGTGTAGCCTTTGAGGTTAAAGGAATTTGACGAACAAGTGGTTGGTTTTAAAATGGTGTGGGGGCCAGACAGGGAATAGAAAAAACAAAGGGTAGGGTAGGTTTGTAGTTGGAAAAGAAAAGGGAAAGAGAAAAGGTGGAGATGAGGCAAAAAATTTGAAGATTAATGACGATGATGATGTCCACGTGGCGCTTCTCTACTTGATTATATCTAATTAATTAATCCCAAAGATCTTTCCTTCTCTCTGTGTGGTGTGGACCGAATTGGGGGTCCATTTCTTTCTGTTTCCTATTAACAAAAGGCAGAGTGGGGACAGGACGGACATGAATGTGCTCAAAAAATTAGCTTAGCTTTATTTGTGAGTGTCTTTTTTTTTTTTTTTTTTACTATTCAAGTTTATTCGTGTTTTCCTACAAGTAGGGATGGCAAGGCGCGGGTTTGCCTAAACCATCTTCATCCCCATCTTCAAATACCCAAACTCATACCCGCCCCATACTCATGCGGGAAATGTTTTGCAAACCCATCCCATACCCGTGGGTTTCGGGTACCTATGGGTAATACACATCCCCGTACATCCAACATTATTATACCTAAAACTTACAAGAAAAGTTTTAATTATACCCATAAACAAACCTATTATATCACGAAGTCAACAAAACACGGTCATTTTCTAAATACGATTCAAAGAATATGATCCTAAAATATCCATTAATACATAATATAGACTATAATATTTTTTAAATTATTATGCTCTAACTCTTGATACATTTACCAAGTAATAATTAACTAACATAATTTTGTTGACAAGGGGGAAAGTGAAAGAGTGGAAGGAGAATTGAGGGAAATGAATTAGGTTTTTATTAAGGTGGTTACTCAATTGCATTTCTGCTATTTATTTTCTCGAGTTATCATCATCATCATTGATAGATTACAATTTAATCCACGTATTTTTTGATATGTGAAGAAATTCTCTTGGTGGGGCGGGTATGGGTATGGGTATGGGGCGGGGGAGGCTAAAACCATACCCGCCCCATACCCATCAAACCTTTTGCGGGTTTTACCCATACCTGCCCCATACCCGGTCAAAGCGGGGATTCCCCGCGTTGATTGGGTATGGGGCGGTCGGGTACCCGCGGCCATGGGTTTGATTGCCATCCCTACCTACAAGTGGGTTTGTTTAGTTCTGGCTTTCCCTTTCTTACGTAACGAACAGTGCATTGCTCTCTCTCTCATTCAGACTCGGTTCAGCAATCGTGAGCGCCTGAGCGGGTAAATCCGCGGGCATGCACACTATAACACGTACATTTATTGTGTCATCTTGTATAATATCAAATATATCAGCTATTTTTGAACGATATCGGACTAACCCCGCATAGTTTTTTTTTTGTTGAAATCTGCTATGGTGAGTTCTTACGAGGTCATTTGATTTTGAAGTATTTTACACCGTTTGCGTTTAACTTTAGAGTTTTTACTAGAATTTGTCCCTTTCATCTCAAAATGTGTATTGTCAGCAAATGTTGGATGTGCTTATTATACACGGCAACAATCAATTTGGAAGTCGAATTTCCTATAACATGTTCTCTCCTTGCTTTATATGGCTCAAGGAAGTATTGTGTGTGTGTCGTCTAAATATGGTAACTTGGCCTGCCATGGCCACACATTCCTATCTATATAGGTACCCACCAATCACATTCCATGATCTTTCCCTTCCTTATCGGGTAATGTATTAGCAACAAAAAAAAACCTTATTGTATCGGCAGTTCAATCAGAAAAATCTCTTACCCGATATTAAATCGGTAGACGGTATTTAACAGTATGCAATGGTCAAAGCACGATGTCAACATAAAATACCCTACCACTTACTCTTTAGATACAGCAGCTTCCGATACAATTTTACAATCATCGGTATTTAGACTTCAAAGCAGGCCAAGATCAGGTGACTAAGGGGGTCCCCTTAGTCATGTGACTAAGTGCATCTCCACCCTTGCACCTCATTAAAATCCAATGGTCTAGATTAATCCAATTTAATAAAGGACAATATAATAATTACATGACTATTTAATTTATTAATTTAGATAATAAACAAAGAAAGAGTAATTTGGCCGCTGCGGACTTCCTGCGGTTCCCCAGCCGTAAAAATTTCCCGCCGGCTTTTATTTCTTTTCCGGCGTCTCCTCTGCTATCCATTTATATTTATATTAATGTTGCTGCTATACATTTATTTTCTGAACTTCTATTTAACGCCCTAACTTTTTAAAATTTTCGCCCTAAATTAACGAAACAGACGATTGTACCCCGCCCGCCCTAATCCCTAAAATGGTAGCCGTCGCCTAAAAACTCTCCATTCCCCGTCGCCGCCGTTCGCCCTAGGATTCTCCCCTAGCCGCCGAAATCACCATTCCCATGTTGCCGCCGTCGAGCCAAGGAGGAAGGCGAACGTTCGCGTTGTTGCCCTGCCGCCGAGTCAAGTAGGAAGGAGAATCCAAATCGTTGTTCCATCTGTTCCTCTGGAGACGCTCAACCGTCTACCTCGGCTGCACCACCTCCTTTGCCGCTAGGGGTGGCTATTTGGACCGGGACCGGATTAAAAACCGGAAACCGGACCGTATAACCCGGACCGAGACCGGACCGGGATCGGATAGTAAACAATCCAATCCAATCTTTGGGCTTAGATTTGAGGTAAAAAACCGGATAAAGACCGGATAAGAGAGCTCAACACCCAAAACTTAAGGGTAATTTGCATAAACGGTCACAAACCTTTGCACTTAGTACAAAACTTAACCAACTCCTCACCCTTTAAGGCCTTAGGCCACTCAAATCCCACAATCTCAATATAAAATCAAGACCGAATTGGGACCGGACCGGATCAAAACCGGACCGGATCAAGACCGGACTGTTTCCAATCCAATCTTCGGTCCTTATATCTTCAAAAAGACCGGACTGGACCGGATCAATTTGAGCCAATTTAACCGGACCGGACCGTATAGCCACCCCTATTTGCCGCCGCCCGGTTCCGTCAGATCCATCATTGATCCTTCGAGGCGAGGTTGCAGTAGCGCGGCGGCCGTTGATGACGGGAGTAGCGTCCTCGGAGGGCTTCTTTGCAGCTTCACCTCCTTGAAAGTCAACTGTGGTCTTGATTTTAATTAGTTAGATGAATAATTGATTTATTGGGGGGAATTGGAGTTGAAGGGAAGGGGATTGCCGGTGAGCTTGTCGGAGATGATGACAGCTTCGAGGATCTGCCCGGCGAGCAGGGTAGATGGCATTTGGCCATAGAATTTTTTTTTAACGACCGAGTAAGAAGGGCATGCATGTAATTGCACTAGAGTTTAGGGTGATTTTTTTAAATTCTTAGGGCGCCGAATAGTACGTCCCTTTATTTTGGGCAGGAGACATGGGGAGAGTGAATTGTCCCCAGGTGAGAGAGAGAGAGCTGGGCATTGTTATTTGCTGGGGAATTTTGGCGCCCTGGATTTATTTGTTGGCGCAGAGAGAGAGAGGGAGAGAGAGAGAGATTTTCTGGTTGGGAACTTTTTTCCGGGCAACCATCGTCGACGGAGAAGAATTTCCAGGCGACTGTGCTAATTTTGTGATGTTTGTTGACATATTTTGTAATGTTTGTATGCTTTGTTATTTTGTAATGTTTGTCGGGGTTTTTTTTTTGTAATGTTTGTAAACTTTGTTATTTTTGTGCACCATGTTTGTAAACTTTGTTATTTTTTCAACCATGTTTGTAATGTTTTTATGTCTAAAAAACAACCTGGTTGACTTTTGGATGGAACTCCTCTATATAGGGATGAAGCCTCCAAAGTCAACCGGGGTGTTTTTTCTAGTTCGTATGGATTGTCGGTCTAGTTTGTCATTTTTGTCCACCATGTTCGTAATGTTTGTATGTCTAAAAAACACTCGGGTTGACTTTGAGAAGGAGCCCCTCTATATAGGGATGGAGCCTCCAAAGTCAACCCGGGTGTTTTTTCCCGTTCGTATGGATTGTCGGTCTAGTTTGTCATTTTTGTCCACCATGTTCGTACTGTTTGTATGTCTAAAAAACACCCGGGTTGACTTTGGGAAGGAGCCCCTCTATATAGAGATGGAGCCTCCAAAGTCAACCCGGTTGTTTTTTCTTTTTGTATGGTTTGTATTGTTTGTCGGTCTAGTTTGTATTGTTTGTACAGTTCATACGTTTGTAATGTTTGTAAATCTGTTTGTATGTTTTGTCGCTCTAGTTTGTACTGTTCGTATGTTTGTATGGTTTGTACTGATTGTAAATCCGGTTTGTATACTTCGTAATTTTCCATAATACCCAAACTACCTCTGTCATTAATTAAATAGCCCTTCCCACTTTTTAACCATTGGATTGAAGTGTCCAGATCTAAGGGCTGGGAGGGGTGCTTAGTCACTGGATCCGCCCTCTTAATTAGGCATACACCACAAAATTTTAAGAGGTTCCTTATCGAACCAGACAGGCTTGGAAAATGAGAGCATATGATATGAAGCTGTGTAGAATGAAAGGTGGGTGGAAGTTGAAGAAATGAGTGAAGACTGAAGATAGAACACCACACTATTTGCTAGTACAAATGCCGAAAGTAGTTGAAAGGTAAGAAGCGAGTGAATGTGACTTCAGTTCAGTTTTTTTAGTACACATGTGCTTTTCCTATGCTATGATTTGCAATGAATGGAGTTGTGAGCAGGTACATGTCGTGGCGGAGCCAGATATTTGTTGGGCGCTCTCATGTAATACATCTAAATTTTGGGATTTTTTTAAAAAATCTCCACATAAGTTCACATATTGTACTCGAATACCAGATGTTTATGTAACATGGAAAATTTTATACACAACAGAGGAAACTTAGTTGGATACATACATCACTTAAGAATATAGCTGTAGTGAATATTTTTTTACAGTTCTTTTCAGATATGAAAACACATTCGGGTTGCTTGAAAAAAGAAGGAAGCTCGTATTAGTATATTATTTTTCTTTTATGAATGGAATACTTGAATGTTAATTTATAAGACACGTTATATGGCTATATTAAGAAATCATATCACTCGTGATTAACAAGTTATTTAGAATGAAGTTATACATATTATTCTTGATCAGATTTTGTATATATGAAGTTTTACCAACCTTCATGTATACAAATTCACATCATTGATTTGCACGCATGGTGAAGTCAAAGCTATTGGCTATTTATTAAGAAAATTGATGGGATCCAAAATGAA